ACCAAAACCCACTTCCAGAACCGGGAGCAGTTTTGAACGATCCTGGGGATCCACCAAAACCCACTTCCAGAACATAATTTTCAAGGTGAATGTTGAAATATTTCGAAATAATACGGATTTTGGTGAATCCCAGAGAATTTTAGAGAAAAGAGAGAAATATTGAAATTTTAGATGAATTTTAAGTTGCGTGAAACCCCTAGAATGAATGTACAATCGGAATTATTTTTAAATTAATAAATAACAATGATGATTTATAACGCATTCTGAATTGTAGAACTTCGATTCGGCACGATATAAAAAAACAATGAAATTTTCGATGGAACAAATCGATTTTTTCGCTTCGCTTTAACGAGTTTTTATTTTTTAATTAGCTATTCTTTGCGATAAAAAGATGACGCGTACTCTTATTACATGCACGGATGTTAAGCTAAATTAGTTGAGATTATATGCTCGAAAAATAGTGCAACTTATTAAATAGAGGAATTATTATGGGTATGATACAAAGGATAATGCTCTTAGTTTATCTAATTACCTGCTTTGTCTAGCCCATCAATCACCAGCACAAAATTTCTGTACATTTTCGTTGCACTATCATCGACACGGAAAATATAAGTTTTAGGCTAAACAGCTTGTAACAGGCATGAAAATTATCTTAACGCAAGTGCTTCCGAAAGTATTCACATTCAAGAGTCAATGCTGGAACGAGAAACATGACCAAAATGTACTAAAAACTGAAAAACAAATTCATAATAGACATAATTTCTTTCTGTGCATCAAAAATATTCAAGTTTAATAAATGCTGTAGCGAATGGTAGACAATCGTCGTATTTGAACTTGGAAAATTTGTTATAAATGCAATTAAAATATTCCAAATCATTTCTTATATCCATCACGATCGGCTTTGCTAGAGAATATTGACTGTTATACATTCCATTCATGCATCAAATCGACTGTTTGAGAAATTCATGCCATTGAATATTGTTGAACGACAGTTTGTTGTGTCTCTTCATGGAGAAAATATACATCTGAAAAGGATTTCAGTCGATTCGACTGCGTCAAATCATGAAAAAAACATTTCTTCAATTTCCAAAAAAAAACGAGCGAACAATTCAATTGTTATTTGCAATGCTTTAAGTTCGGTCTGTTCAAATAAAAGCTGTTCCCATTCAAGTACGGAAAAAAGAATCTAGTACAACCGCAGCCATAGAGCACAACAACGAAGGCAGCAACAAAACACAACAACAACAATCATTGAAACACATTTTGACACATTTTTTGACGGCTGAAGAAAATTCAGAAACTTTGGTGATATGCTTTCTTCGATTCCAAGCGATTAATGGACCTTTTATTTAAACAACACATTGAATAATCGTAAATTGTCCTATGAATTCCGAGTCTGTGTGTGTCATTTTCTGATGGAAACCGATTTTGTGCATTAAAAAAACGTATTGAGCAAAGTGTAGAGCGTGGAATATTGATTTAATGAACAATTTTTGTTAGACCTAGACTAACTATCGGCAAAACAATTTTATGGAAAAAAAACAAACGAAATAGTCAAATCACGACGGAGCGCAACAATAGAAAATAATGTTCAAACAGTTTCAACATATCTGGAAGAATGCAACCGTTAATAAATATCAAATAGTTTTACGCAGATTTGCCTCGTCCACAGTTGATCACGTCACTGCAAAGCAGCAGTTCGAACAATCCAATAAGAATTACAATCAACGTCGACAACACATTAGTGCATTTCATTCATGTGAAAACGCTGGGCAAATTCGATACATCAGCAACAACACAGTCAATAATAGTACGAATTTAAGTCGATCTGAAAACGTTACATCCAAATACAAGAAAATGGAAGCGAATTTGAAATGGCGCAGCGATCCAGTGATCACAACACTTGAAACACCACAGTTTAAATTGATCCTACGGAAGAATATCCTTGATTTGGTGGCATTATTCCAGAAACACAACTATGAAATTCGCATTGCCGGCGGTGCCGTTAGGTGAGAATCGTGTCAATTGTGATTTGATTCGACTTGAGTGATTTTTGGTTTGGTTGGTTTTTCTAACATGTTTCATCTCCTCCACAGAGACTTACTCATGAATATTACACCGACAGACATTGATTTCGCAACAACTGCAACGCCGAAACAAATGGTCGAAATGTTTACCAACGAAAATATTCGCATGATCAATTCGAATGGCGAGAAACATGGGACTGTCACACCGCGCATCAATGACGAAGAGAATTTTGAAGTGACAACGCTACGCATTGACGTTCGAACCGATGGCCGACATGCCGAAGTGGAATTCACCACCGATTGGCTACTGGATGCCAATCGACGCGATCTAACCATCAATTCGATGTTTTTGGGCTTCGATGGCAAAGTCTATGACTACTTTTTTGGCTATGAAGACCTCAAGAATCGACGAGTTGTCTTTGTCGGTGAGCCAGCCAATCGTATTCAAGAAGATTATCTACGGATTTTGAGATATTTTCGGTAAGTTGACATCAGTCCTTTGTCAGTTGACAGAGTGACCTGAATAGCGATACAGAAATCTAACGAATTGTTTGCTTTCCAGATTTTATGGAAAAATCTCGTCGAACCCGAACAATTTTGATGCAAAGACGATTGAAGCGATTTGTGAGAACATCGATGGCCTGCAGAAAATCAGCGGCGAACGGATTTGGACTGAACTGAAGAAAATTTTGCAAGGGAATCATCGTCTGGAATTATTCGCAAAACTCATCGAATGCGGAGCTGGTCGATATATTGGTAAGCGTTTGAGCTGCATTATTTTTAGGTTAAGTTCAAAATATCTTGCAAAAATTAACACCAACCAAGGCAAATGTTGACAGTGGGCAATGTTGATTCGTCGATCAAAACAGCTTTTGTTTCACATTTCCTTTTGAATACAGTCTATTCACCTTTCCGTGTTTCATTCCATGAAGTTCAGTTGCATACTTACCAATAGACAGAAGATTTTTCGCACAATGCTAAGCAAATGAAAAAGTTTGAATGAAAAATCGTTGATTTGACTTCGAATGAATACTTATTTTATTGCGATTTTGAGATTATCGACTGATTTTTGGTGGATTTACACATGGCCCATCTTCACTGCCAGTTCAAACAAGGCTTCATACGCTTCCAATCTGAAAACAGACAAGTCCTTTAACCATTCAGCCTAACGGTGGTTTTTCGACCGGTGCGTAGCGAGTGAACACGGGAAGAAACTCACACCGAGATTCACCCGTTTAGAGAGAGAATTCTTGTTATTGTTGTTTTTGCATATGCATAATTCAAAATGTGACTTAACTATACCTTATGCTATTATTGGTACTTAACTAATTCTCATTTGTTTGAATCTTGCAGGTTTCCCAGCTTCAATTGACTGCACCGATCTATTCCGTTTAAAACAAACACTTCAAACGACATTCAAAGATGTTCCCATTAATTCAACAACAATCCTTTCGACTGTATTGAATTCAAAAGAAGACGCACTTTGCTTACATTCACGGCTTAAATTGTCGGCATATGAGCGCGATATGGCATTCTTCCTGGCTGAAAATAAGGCTGCCACACGTGACATCGATGACCTGCTGTATGTATTCAAAACGTTCTTCTTTTTAATTGAATTTTTTCTGCTTAATTCAAAAATAAACCAAAAAAAATTGAAATTGTCAAATAATATCCATCCACAGCCACTATCAGAAGATGTGTTTGCCACAACGTAATCGTTCATTCAAATTGCTAAAGGATTTTGTTCTCGAATTACTGAAATACAATGGCAAACGGCAAATTTACGATCAATTGCTGGACTGGGAAATGCCAAAATTCCCCGTCAACGGTACAATTCTGATTGAGAGTGGATACAGTGGCCGTAAAATGGGTGCGATACTGGAAAAATTGCGTGATATTTGGGCCGATAGTAATTTTCAAATGTCTCAGGAAGAATTGATGCAACAACACCTAACGCCCGTGCAACAGAAAGTCGCCGAAGAGGAAAGTCTCCGAAAAAAAGTCAAAACTAAGAAATAAATTTGGTCACACAATGCAAAATTGTGTGCTTTGTAATGTAAATTGAAGAACAATCTGGAGAGACAGTAAAAAAAAAAATGATCGAAAAATCAAATTTAGAATAATGATGAGAGATACACACAAATACACAATCAAAGTGAAGATGAAACAAGTTTGAAAAGCTTAATCTTCAATAAAGATCTACTTACGAATGGTTAAAGTGCCATTTTAAAAAAAAGCAATGAATGTTTTTTTTTATTTCTTGTGCAGATTTATTTCCTACTTGTAGAAGTCTCGACATATGAGTCATACTGAGGTGGCGATTCCGCTTAAACAGGTTCATTACGTTTATATTGCCATGGTTTTCGTTATCAAGGGTATATCATTTCTTTCATCATTGAATGTTGTGTCATGGAAAAATAAGGAAAAACACTTTTTAATAGACTTCAACCAAATTGCAAAACAAATGAACGATATTAACACATTTCGATATCATTCGATGTTATCATCATATCAGACAATAGTTGCTTATCACTGGCTTGAAATTCGAAATGAACGCAATCGTCACTTAATGAGAAAAATGCGCCAAAGACTCGCAAAAGGTGGATAGGCACAGCAAAAAGAATGAACAACAATTCGACGAAATTCTCTTGAACCAAAAAGATCGTAATGATGACAAACAAAGCGAAAAAAATAATTTCCACCAATAAATAGATGCGGGAGAATGTAGGACATATATATTGAGATAGAAATGAATTCGGTAACTCTATTTACACGTTCAAAACACATCAAACAACTTCGGCAACAACAATATTGTCGAGACATTGAATGGTAATTTTGATTTATTGTGCTCCATTATTGCTGACGACTGGCTGCGAGAGAAGAAAAAAACTAAAAGTGAAGTTTAAAAATATAATGAACGCGACTCATTTGAATTAGTCTTACGGTTGCAACGACACTGGATATACATACTCGAAATATTCTCCAAACGAACCGCATCATACTTATACCGGATTAATTATTGTGCATAGCATTTGTTCTACATTCACGCCGCTCATTATTCTACAATTATTTTACAACTTGATTTTGCCAGTTGAAAAAAAAAAACCACTTCATTCTAGTGTGATTTGAAGCAAAAAATAATGTGCAACATGCAGTTTTTTGTCGTTGTGTCTGTACTACTTGCTGGTAGGTTAATTTTTTCATGTTGTTTTTCAGTGCACATAGTGCTGTGTGGTATTTAGATGTGAATGCAATTTTTTTCTAACGATTATCGCATCGAATGATTGATTGATTGAGCACTTTTTTTTTCTACGTCCAAATAGTTTCGATCGGTTCGACATCGGCCATTGGCGGTCTTTTGGATGGTCTAGCGAGTTTATTTGAACAACCAAGCGGTTGTACTGTTCTGGTTGAGGTGCCATTAACGCCACAGGATCCGTACTACAAAGCTGAAATATTTCCAAGTTTAACAGCCAAGCTGAATGCCAACCAAGATCGGTTTGATCGTGATTTACACCAAGGTAAAGCCCATGAAGTTAAAATTAAATTTATTTGGTCGAAATCCAAATGATGTTCATTCGTTTGGTGTGGTACAAATTCAATTAAATATCAAACCGATATGAAAACGTGTATCATTATCACAAACTTGTTTTCATTTGTAGTTTGGGTGGATGCTCCAGATCCATCAATGTGTCGTCCATCATACGGTGGATCGTTCGGTGGGCTATTCGGTGGATCATTAGGTAGTAGTCGTTGCACTTTAAACGGTCATTTTGAATCGCAGTACAAATGGCTGATATTTCGATCCGGTGATAAAAAGAAACTAGCCAACGAACAACTTTGGGCGGAATCGCGTAATAATGGATTTCCATTCTACAAAGGTAAAGGAAGCTAGAAAAATTGAATTCAAGCGGATTGGCAAACAATCTAAAAATAATCTAATAACGTTTATTTTTTTTTATTTGTACAGTATGGGCTGACGCACCAGAACGTTACTGTAAACGACAATTTGGTGGACTTTCAGACTTCTTGGGATAATTGATTCAGCTGCTGGCTTAAACGCAATTTAATTTCCACAGAATTCGCTTTTCATACACATCAAAGAAACAAACAATTCATTTGTTATATTCTCTGAATGCGGACATCCATAAAAAAATTTCCAATTTAACGCTGTCATTCTCACGAATTGTTTCGCAATTACTTGTTTAAACAATAAAATAACAACTAAACTACACAAAACTATACGTGTTAAATCATTTAACTGATAACAATATCACACATATCCAATCTGTTTATCTTCTAGGTGCTTAGAGAAAAACAATGGAAAGAGGAGTAGAGAACGAAATAGAAGGACAGAGAAAGAGAGAAATAGAGAGCAAGAGAGAAATAGAGAGCGAGAGAGAAGTATGCGCTTGATATCTTTTTTTTATTATTGAAATATAGAAACAGTACACGTAAACGTAGTAAGTTCATTAAACGGATGACATCGTTATTTGTCAATTTGTAAATGAAGCATTGAAATCGATAGGTTCCACTTTTTCGAAAAGGTATTGATAATAAATCTATTGAAGGTCATTAAGAAAAAACACCAACAAATAACGAAACAATTATTTGAAAGGACAAACTGTTGATTTATTTAGAAATAAATTATTTCTCGACAGAATGCCTGTTTTAAAAGAATTTCTACTTTTCAATTGCTCCTAAGAAATTGGAAATTCATATGAGTGCCTGGAATATATTAGCAATTGGAATAAATATATATGGTAAAAATGGAAAAAGAAATCTGTGTTGCTAAAAAAAATTCTCGAGAAAATACATTTTATTTTCCAAAGTTGAGTGAAATTAATAGTAAATTTTTTTCTGTGCAATTTATTTGCAATGCTGTTATTTTGTTTATTTTATTCAAATATTTAGTCATGAATTGAAAAGTGTGTATAATTCTTTCAATATTTTTCATTATTTGTTGTTTCTCATGAAAATAATCAAATATTTGTATCTTTTAATAAAAAAAAATCACCGTAAAAATACTCATTTTTCAAACAAAAATCCAATTTTCCAAAGAAGTAAATAAATCGTCAATTTTTTTTCTTCAACAATGTATTTTCTTTTATTCCCATTCCATTTCAGTTCAATTTCAAAGAAAATGATTCAGTTGATTGTGTTGGTATTCCATGTACTGATGGCAGCGCCATCGCAGCGATGACAACTGGAGTTATATGTTTCAATTTGTTTACAAGTTAAACGTAGTTCTGGTGTTGATTGTTGAAAAAAGCCGACTCAAAGGCCACATTCACGGTAAGATGAGTACAAAATCGGGTGGAGATAATGATCCAATAAATGAAGAGTACACGGGAAATGTAACTGAGGTTGGAACGCAGGCCGTTTGGAGTTTATCGTCATGTAAACCGGGTAATGTTGGCATGTTTTTCGCTCTCTCTCTCTCTCTCTCTCTCTCTCTCTCTCTCTCTCGGTCGCCTTATGCCTATATCGGAATGTACTAACTGTAGCTATTTGTTAACCAAAAATAGGTTTTGGTGTGGAGCAATTGCGTGATAATTGCATGGACACATATTGGCAGTCGGATGGTCAGCTACCGCATTTGGTGAATATTCAATTTCAGCGAAAGACATCGGTCAATCAAATATATATCTACACCGATTACAAATTGGACGAAAGTTATACACCAAGCCGAATATCAATCCGGTCCGGCACCCATTTCAATGATTTGCAAGAAATTGAAATTGTCGACTTGGTCGAACCAACAGGTGATTTAAATCAAATGAAAGGAAATAATTTGAAGAAAGAAAAAAACAAATTTTCATCCATATTGCTTAATATTTCTATCATTCAAACAGGTTGGGTGCAAATACCGATAAAGGACGTACGCAATCGTCCGATTCGAACATTTATGATTCAAATTGCTGTCATTTCCAATCATCAGAATGGCCGTGATACACACATGCGACAGATTCGGATACATTCACCGATCGAAGGTCGCAAATATCCATTAGAAGAGTCGGGCAAATTTACAACACTCAAATTTCAACAGTACAGCACAATTCGTTAGCCGCATTAATGCAATGCAAACCCAAAGAAAAAACGAAGAAAAAAAAGAATTCAACATTTATCTGTAGTTGTTAAAACTGAAAATTGTATTTTTAAGAGAAAAAACCAAAATGAAATGTCATCCAAGTGTACAATCGTTGTACGCATTTATAAAGTGGGCAATTGTTGTTTTAATTTATGTTCACATTTTGACGTTTGATGCATTCAAAATGGCATTGGAAAGCAGAAAAGAAATCCGTTAGTCGAGTGCTAAATGTGATGTCAAACTCTATTTAGTTCGTCAGTGTGCTATCATTTGGTGTGTTTCGCTTTGAATTGAATATCCAACGTCTTTCAATTGTGGAGAAAAAAAAATGGGTACAAAATATGCTGAAAAGTTTTTTCCAAGAATGAATCACTTGTTATTATTTTTTTTGATCGGATTATCGACGGTGATCAATGCGCAAGAGTCAGCGGTCAACTACAAAGATCGAATTGTCGAAGCCAAAGCAAAACTACTGAAAATGATTCAAAAAGGTATAATTACATAAAAAATGTTTTATTTTTCATTGGTTTTACACCATTTTACAACAGGATAAAAAAATATCATCGTTTCATTTAAATTGCTTTGAAATGGCGATAAAATCCGGTAACACTGGTTGCTATTCCAACAGAAGCAACTCCTTTTTTACATAACCACAATTGTGATTTTCAAGAAATTTCATAAATTCACTCATGGTAATCGGTGCAACGGAGTCATTGTCACAATCATCACCGTACAATATCTCACGGAATTGATTGAATCGACGGAATTGTTGACATTTCGATTGTGGTTTGGATTTTATTTCGCTCAAACGTACAGTGATTCGTTGCCAAGCCCATTGTCGAATGATTTTCCAAAATTCTTGTGTACACGCTTTGACACCTTCAATGCAAACGATTCCCGGTTTGCCGGGCTTCGAAAATCCACTTAAATCCAATTCTTTCGCTAGCTTCATAATATCTTGTCGTTTTTGTGTACTTTTCAAATGATGTGAGTAGATCCATAGCCGTTCCATTTCCACCGGTGCATCGACGTTCAGTTGATCCGGTGATTGTTTTTGTACAGCCGACGATTTTGTTGTATTGGAAATTATTTTATCAATGTTATCCTGAAGCCACACCACAATTGGATAAACATATACCGTCGATCGATCCACTTCATCACCATCAATGTACTCGTACACTTGCCTCTTGATTTCATTTTCGATTTGCATCTTGTTCGGCACATTCAATGTTGTTCTCACTGTTATATTCGGCTGCTCTAGACTTGGATACGTATGAGGAAATTCAATTTGCAGCTCTAACGTATGGCTGCCCTGACTAGAAATTGGTATCGTTATTGTATAGTCTAATTTTTTCGTTAGCCTATCACTTTTCTCCTCCAAATAGTCAAACATATCGGTTAAAATGCTGTGATCGTCGATTTTCATTTCACCTGGATTGCAAAATATCGACTGTAACATTTCCACCTCATCGCATTGCTCTCTGATGCATTGACGCAACAGATTTTGTGTAGCCAATACAATTTCGTCATCCATTCCAATCGAGTGTACGCTCAAACAGTACCGTGCATCTGAAGAAAAAAAAAACCAGAAGGAATATTGATTATTTGATGGTGGAGAATTACTTCAGTTTGAAGGAGATTCGATTAGTTTTGAATTGAAACGTTGAATTGAGCTAAAATATATAACTGAAAGAGTCCTTCGAATGGTTTTGTCATTTCCAGAAACGCTCGATCTCAGTGGTTTTGAAGGATTTGCTACCATACCAATAACCTATCCGCTGGATATTTGCCTAATGGAAGTCAATGGC